ATGGTTGGATCTAAAAATTGCTGTATAGAGCAGCAAAGCAAAAAATGTATTGATCTCTATCAAATCCACATTGCGCAGGTCACTTTTTGTTTCTCCATCCTTGAACTTCAATCTTTCTTCTCTAATTTTTACATTGGTCCGCTGAATGATGGCGCTAATCATTTCTTTAGAAAATAATAATCTCCAAATCTCTAGAGGAGTCAGTGAATTTTGGAGATTTCTAGCTGCTGGCCATAGTCCAGGTCATTGCAGTACAATATTGTGACTAGCGATTGCTTCCAAAAGATGCAGAAGACCATTTGAATTCATTCTTGCCATATAAATTATTGCACGACGTAGATTGTACCTGGTCATCAATTTCATTGGGAGCTTCATGACATCGTTGATGTCAGAATCGGTGGCGGCGGGTTCCTCATCATCCATTACAAAAATTTTGTCACAATCCAATTCCACTTCAGTCAGATCACTCTCTGCTTTCCAATACCATTTCAGAACAGTTTCTTCGAAGTTTGGATCACCAAATCGCACTCTTTTTGGCGGAAAACGTGGCCCCGACATTATATATATATAAAAAACGTGAACAAAGATCTGCGGTCAAAATGACTGAAACTCAAATTCAAATTTGAGAAAACAGAAAATACCAAATAACTGATGCAAGCACGATACACTCTTATTGGTGGGGAAACAAAAGCTATTTGTAACCGGAATGGTCCATTTCTAAAAATAGGGGTGTTCCGAACATTTTGGAAAACTGTTGCAGTCACTATGACCGCAGGTCTGTGGTTGTGGGATAAATCAGGGGTGAAATCCAGCAGGTTCTGACAGGTTCTGGAGAACCGGTAGCAGAAATTTTGAGTAGTTCGGAGAACCGGCAAATACCACCTCTGGCTGGCCCCAGAGTAGGGTGGGAATAGGGATTTTGCAATATCCTTCCCTTAGCCTGCCCACCAAACCACATCACACCCACCAAGCCACGCCCACAGAACCGGTCGTAAAAAAATTTGGATTTCGCCACTGGGTTAAATCATGAAGGCAGAAGAAAATGAAAAGAAAAAAAAAAAAGGTGGAAGCCACAAGAACACAACCACATTAAATGGCTATTACAAGATGGATATATCACTGAGAACCAGCTTGGTCTAGAGGTTAAGGAACCAGGTTAGAAAGCAGGAGATTGTGAGTTCTAGTCCTGCCTTAGCCATGAAAGCCAGCTAGGTGACTTTGGGCCAGTCATTCTCTCCCAACCCATCTCACGGGGCTGCTGTTGTTGTGGGGAAAATAGGAGGTTGAAGGCATGTTGGCTATGTTTGCTGCCTTAACTTATTCGTAAAAAATAGGTCGGATGTACATTAATTAATTAAAACATGTAAAATATCCACAAAGAGGTCATGAAAAGAATGGAGAGATGCTATTTCATGAGTACTGTGATGGATACCATTGTGTATTTTGATATTCGATAACTATATTCTCTGTCTTGGACTTTCTATATAACCTAACAATCAGGCAAGGTATGACGTCTAATTTTGGGAGACAGATAACCGAGTTCATAAAAATGTTGAAATTAACCACAGGTAAATTGGGGAAAGAAAGGTAAGTGAGGAAAGGCGTGCCTAAATCTAAAAAGAAAACAAGGTCAAGAAAGCAACGTTGCAGCTGCTGTCTACAACCATATACTACGCCATAGCTACTTTGGTTAGAAAGTGGCAAAACCAGTTTCTAAAACAATTATTATCAACAAATGAAGGGAATGGAGGAAAAGCTATGACTGGGCTCTCCACTTTTTCAAATACTTTATGGCCTCAGATATTTCAGTGATGCTCCCTGTCTTATGTCATGTCTGGTGAAAAGAAGGACTAGAGGTGATATGACAGCAGAGTTCCAATATTTAAGGAGCTGCCACAAAGAAAAAAGGGTCAAACTATTCTCCAAAGCACCTGACGGCAGGACAAGAAGCAATGGATGGAAACTAACCAAGGACAGAAGCAACTTAGAAGTAAGGAGAAACTTCCTGACAATGAGAACAGCCCACCAGTGTTCCTCTTGCCTTCAAAAGTTGTGGGTGCTTCATCACTAGAGGCTTTTAAAAAGAAACTGGGAAGCCACTTGTCTGAAATGGTATAGGGCCTCCTGCTTGAGCAGGAGGCTGGACTAGAAGACCTCCAAGGTCCCTTCCAACTCTGTCATTTTGTTACCTTTGTTGTGCTTCATCCAATAGTAGAAGGCTTACACTCAAGAGACTGAAGGACACAGCTCCTCCAAGATGCTTTTTGCTGCAGGTACTTGTTCAATGGAACAGTTTGTCCTCTTTGGTTTAAGAAACAGAGATGTGTTCTGCCCCGTAAAGTCAGTCATAAGTATGATAACTTAAAATAGCTCTCCGTCTTAATGATTTAATAGCTCCAAATGAGATAATTTACCTTCTTCCTGGTTCTACTTAACACACCCCAACACTGGACAATTTGTCCTCGATGAAAGTAATGGGGGGAACAGGTATGGGCCACAGCCTTGGCCTAAGAGAAGCCAACAGCTGATCTTTCCAGAGACACTTAAAGAGCCATCAGTAAACAGCCCAACCAAAGAATCTCTAAGACACCCACCCCCACCCACACAGTTAAGCATTTAATCAGAATATAAACTGACAGCAAACAGCACTCCTTACTAGCACTGCTGATACTCCCTAGTTAGGGTAAAGAAACGTCTGCAAGAAAATATCCAAGCTCAGAGAGCACCAAGGACCTCATAGTTCTCCTCCTCCTCCTCCTCCACCACCACCTCCTCCTCCTCCTCCTCCTCATTTATCTAGTTTAGTCTAGTTTAATGAAAAGAAGGACTGGGGAGACATGATAGCAGTCTTCCAATATCTCAGGGGTTGCCACAAAGAAGAGGGAGTCAAGCTATTCTCCAAGGCTCCTGAGGGCAGGACAAGAAGTAATTTTGTGGAAACTAATCAAGGAGAGAAGCAACTTAGAACTAAGGAGAAATTTCCTGACAGTTAGAACAATTAATCAGTGGAACAACTTGCCTCCAGAAATTGTGAATGCTCCAACACTGGAAGTTTTTAAGAAGATGTTGGATAACCATTTGTCTGAAGTGGTGTAGGGTTTCCTGCCTAAGCAAGGGGTTGGACTAGAAGACCTCCAAGGTCCCTTCCAACTAAGTCTATTCTATTCTATTCTATTCTATTCTATTCTATTCTATTCTATTCCTCCTCCTGCTGAAAACAAGCAAGCTCAAAGAGCACCAAGGACCCCATAGTCCTCCTCCTCCTCCTCTTCTCTGCACACCCCCATTCTCTTCTAGCACTGCTGATGTTACATAGTTTGGATAATGAAACCTCTGCAAGAAAACAAGCAAGCTGAGAGCACTAAGGACTCCTCATTTCACCCCTGAGCTACAAATAGTCTCCTTTACTGGTTACGCTTAAGTCTACCTCATTTTGCTTCATCGGCCTGATCCTCTGCCTTCTCCAGATGAACAGATGAGAGGAAGGGACAGAGCTCTCTGCTTGCCTTTGCGTCCTCTCAATAAAAGTGGAGACTTCAGCAAGATGAAGAGAGCAACAAAATGATGGTGGCAGGGAGAATTGTCTCCTTGTTGCTGTTAGTTGCAAAGTCATGTCCGACCCATCGCAACCCCATGGACAACGTTCCTCCAGGCCTTCCTGTCCTCTCCCATCCTCTAGAGTCCATTTAAGCTCACGCCGACTGCTTCAGTGACTCCATCCAGCCACCTCGTTCTCTGTCATCCCCTTCTTCTTTTGCCCTCAATCGTTCCCAGCATGAGGCTCTTCTCCAGGGAGTCCTTCCTTCTCATTAGGTGGCCAAAGTATTTGAGTCTCATCCTCAGGATCTGGCCTTCTAAAGAGCAGTCAGGGTTGATCTCCTCTAGAACTGACTGTTTGGATCACCTTGCAGTCCAAGGGACTCGCAGGAGTCTTCTCCAGCACCAGAGTTCAAAGGCCTCCATTCTTTGGCGCTCAGCCTTCCTTGTGGTCCAACTTTCACAGCCTTAGGACATCCTATTTAAGTATCCTCAAAAATCTACTACTGACATTGGTGGTGGTGCAGGGATCTCCAGAGGCTCCCCATGATAGGAGCATCCTCATATCTGTGGCTCATAATAGCAGTAGCACTTAGACTTATATATCAGCTCATAGTGCTTTACAACACTCTCTGGGCAGTTTATAATGTCAGCCTATTTCCCTCAACAATCTAGGTCCTCATTTTTACCAACCTTGGAAGAATGGAAAGCTGAGTCAACCTTGAGCCCCATCAGGATTGAACTCCAGACTGTGAGCAGAGTTTGCCTGCAATACTGCATTCTAACCACTTCACCACCAGGGCTCCTGGCCTTATCATAAGACTTCTAAGACTATAATAATGGTCTTATAATAGACTTCATTTGTAATTGCTCTAAACCATTTAAAACAGAAATAAATCGCAATGATAAACACAAGTTACAGAAAGGAGCTGCAGTTCTACACACACACAACCTCTTGAATGCATGCAGGGATCCTTTATCTTGGACTCCTAAGACTGTAATAATGGTCTTATAATAGACTTCATTTGTAATTGATCTAACAGAAATAACAGGCGTGAACATGAATTCGAGCACCGAATACGAACATTTAATTTAATGGGACACTTATAGCGTTCAAACCTCACACGAGTCACGTTATTCCCTGCGTACAAAGAGATGGATTTTCAAAGGAAGGTGCATTAAAATATTTCACCAAGATCCAAACAATCACCAGAGCGAGAGGAAAGGAGCCAAAGGAGCAGGAGAGGTCCATAGTTCTCACTCCTGTCAAGTTGATTTCAAGTCAATAAATGCCACAATCATTCAAAACCGTTCTTTTTTGGTATGACATTATTAACAGGCGTGAACATGAATTCCAGCACCGAATACAAATAGTTGACATTCTTTTAAAAGCTGTACCTTCAATTTCTGCAATTCAGACCATCAAAGTGTTAAAAGAAGGAGAGAGGCAAAAAAATTCTTACCTCTGTGCTTCACTCCAGAATGTTACAGTACATCTGCAGGTGAGCAGTGAGCAACTACGCCTCTTCTCTGCAGACTTCCAGATTTTTCAGTGACCCACCCATGAAAGTTGCAATTCAGGATTTCTGACTAAGCATAATCCTTGTATTGTGCAAAGTTTGAGGATGCAATTCCAGTGGAATAATACTGATGGCCTTCAAGGCTGCTTGTCCCAATATTGTAAAATGAGAAAGAGTCGATGCTTTATGGCACTTTTGATCAGGGAGGTAAGGACAACACCGACAGTAGTCAATTCTGCGGGTTTATAGCTGAGTTTCTTCCAAACGTAATGACATCAAATCAGGCAACACGAGAAAACGGCACAGCACGTCAGCATTAGAACTAGAACACTAGAGCTAAGACTAACACTAACTGGCTAATCAAACTAACACTAGAACTAAGGAGAAATTTCCTGATAGTAAGAACGATTAACCAGTGGAATGGATTGCCTTCAGAAGTTGTGGATGTTCCATCAACTGGAGGCTTTTAAAAAGGGACTGGACAATCATTTGACAAGAATGGTGTAGGGCCATGATGGTGAACCTATGGCAAGCGTGCCAGAGGTGGCACGCAGAGCACTCTCTGTGGGCATGCACACCGTCGCCAGCTGGTCTTCTGATTTCTGGCGGGCACATGTGCTCCGGCCAGCTGGTCTTCGCGGGCACCAGAGCACCTGAAAATGGCCAGAAAAATGGCCAAAAACAGTCAAAAAACAGGCATGTGCATGTCAGCCAGCTTGGCTTCAGGTTTTCGGTGCTCTGGTGGGTGTAAAAAATAGCTGGCCGGCGCACATCAGGGGTGAAATGCTCCCGGTTCGGACTGGATCACCCGATCTGGTAGCGATGGAGGTGGGTGGTTCGGAGAACCGGTAGCAAAAATCGCTGTCCCCCCCCGCCCATTGCCCAGTTGAGCCGTGCAATCATAAGAGGCTTTTTTTTTTTTTAAAAAAAGCATTTTTTCTACAACCTCTTTGGCCGAAAAAATGCTTTTAAAAGTAAAAAAAAAAAAGCCTCTGATGATCGCGCGGCTCATCTGGGATCATCAGAGGCTTTTAAAACCATTTTTTTCCACAACCTCTTCGGCCGAAGAGGTTATAGAAAAAATGTTTTGAAAAGGAAAAAAAAGCCTTTGCCGATCAGGCAAGTCAGCTTGGATCGTCAGAGGCTTAAAAAAAAAAAAAAGAAAGAAAGCCTCTGCCCATCAGGCAATTCAGCTGGGATCATCAGAGGCTTTTAAAAGCGTTTTTTTTACAACCTCTTCGGCCGAAGAGGTTGTAGAAAAAATGGTTTTAAAAGTAAAAAAAAGAAAAAAAGTTGGCCACGCCCACTCAGTCATATTACCACCTTCCCACCAAGCCACGCCCACAGAACCAGTAGTAATAAATTTTACATTTCACCACTGGCGCACATGCATGTGCTGGAAACCCGTAGACCAGCTGGCCGGAGCATTCATGTGCATCAGCCAGCTGGTCTTTGGGTTTTCAGCGCTCCGGCATGTGGGCATGCACGCGCTTTCCGGTTTGGGCACTCGATGCCGAAAAGGTGTAGGGTCGCCATCATTAGTGTAGGGTCTCCTGCTTGAACAGGGGGTTGTTAGACTAGAAGACCTCCAAGGTCCCTTCCAACTCGGTCATTCTGCATTATCTCAGCTCTTTTTGTCCTATGGTCATGGATAGAACAAGGAGAAGGAATATAGCAGTGATGGCTAACCTTTTTGCCGTCGTGTGCCAAAAGCGGGGGGAGCGTGGAGCGGTCGCGCACCCGCGTGCCCACACCATTTAACGCCGCCCCGCTCCCGCACATGCATGCTCCCCCCCCGCTTTTGGCATGCAAGGACAAAAAGGTTACCAGTGGGCCTAGTAGGTCTGTTTTTTACCCTCCCCAGGCTCCAGAGGCTTTCTTGGAGCCTGGGGAGGGCAAAAACAGCTTTCCCAACCCGCCCGGAGGCCCTCTGGAGGCCAGAAACAGCCCATTTCCTGACTTCCGGGGGGCCCGGAAGGCCTGAAAATCAGCTGGCCGGCGCATGCATGCGTGCTGGAGCTGAGCTAGGACAACGTTCGCATGGCTACAGATATGGCTCCACGTGCCACCTGTGGCACGCGTGCCATAGGTTTGCCATCACGGGACTATAGCATATGTTCAGGGACAAGATGCATTTCGATCTAGCATTTGGTTGTTCCGAGGCTAACCAGATGCTTCTCAGCAGCCTGCAAACCGGAGATGGGAGACCTATTTCTTGATCTCCTATTTGTAGAAATATTAAGAAGAGCCAGATGTAAATTGCCCATCTAAACAACGTTTTGAAGGGGGACAGATTAGTTATGGCTTCATGGAATGTGTTTTAATAAAGTCGAGAGTATTTTGCCTTTGTTTTTTAAAAGGAAGTGTGCTTTTCAGAAACTACATTTTTACCTAAATATCAAATGAAGGATGGATATACCATTCTACAGTATGAGTGTAGACCAGAAGCAACGACCCCCCCCTCCCCTCTTATGTAGGGAGCATTAGATGAGGAAAAAGATATGTGATGTTTGTCATTTGATTGGAAAGCTAACATTAGAAACAGTAAGGAGGAAAATGTTCAGTTGTAGAGTTTGGGAAACAGAAATAAAAAGAACTGATCAGTTCCTGCTGATTCAATATCATCATGGCTAAAACAGTTTTCAGACAACTGCTTATACCAGTGTCTCTCAATCTTGGCAACTTGAAGATGAATGGACTTGAACTCCCAGAATTGGAGTTCAACTTGAAGATGAATGGACTTGAACTCCCAGAATTGGAGTTCAACTTGAAGATGAATGGACTTGAACTCCCAGAATTCCCCAGCCAGCATAGCTGGCTGGGAAATTCTGGGAGTTCAAGTCCATTCATCTTCAAGTTGCCAAGGTTGAGAAACACTGGTTTACACAAATGGGCATCACTAGATGGAATATACAGAAATTAAACTGATTTATCTTGTTGGCACAAGCAGGTAGAACAGCAGACATAAGGGCAGACATTGGAAGAGAAAATGAAGGATTTGTGTGCCAGGTTCCAAGCCAATCAATTTCTATAATGTCATCTTAGAGAGGGATGGGCTTCAAAAATTTTAGCAAGGGGTTCTCTGCCCGGTTCCTGGGTGGGTGTGGCCATGGTGGGCCTGGTCTAGTCAGCCTCCTGCACCACGGCGGGGGTGGTGTTTTTGCCCTCCCCAGGCTCCAGAGGCTTTTTTCAAGCCTCCGGGAGGGCAAAAATAACCTCCCCAGGCTCCGGAGGCCCTCTGGAGGCCGGAAACAGGCTCTTTTTTGAACTTCCTGAACATCCGGTAGGCCTGTTTTTCACTCTCCCTGAGCCTCTATGCGTGCGCCCTGCACTTACCTGCATCCAAAACAAGCCACGTGGGGACTCCCAGGAGGGGCAGGGTGGGGTGGGCGGAGCCAGCCAGGAGTGGGATTTGGGGGTTTTCCAAACTGCACAGAATCTTAGCTAGAGGTTCTCCCGAACCCCTGCAAACCCCCAGCAGCCCATCCCTGATCTTAGACATCTACAACATCTACATTTTCAAGGGGAATACCAGGAATCCCTTGAATTCCAGAAACCCAAGGAATTGTGGAATGAAAGCAAAGAGATTATTAAGGATAAATATCCTTAATCTGCTGGTGGCTCAGCAGACTAAAAGCATTGTGATTAACACCAGCTGTCTGCAATTACTGCGAGTTCGAATCGCACCAGGCTCAAGGTTGACTCAGCCTACCATCCTTTCTAAGATAGGTAAAATGAGGACCCAGTTTGTGAGGGCAATAAGCTGACTTTGTATAAATATACAAAAGTATGAAGGCTATTGCTTAGCGCATTGTAAGCCGCCCTGAGTCTCCGGAGAAGGGCGGCATATAAATCAAATTTAAAAATAAATAAATAAAAATGAACAGAGAGTACTGAAGACTAAGAAACTAAAGGAAGCAAACAGGTTGTCAGAACAAATGATAACTACCAAGGAAAGAAGTAAAGTTAAAACCCCAGAAGGGCAAACAACTCCGGGATTTAACAAAGAATTCCAGGAATTCCATTAGAAGAGGCAAGGTGTAGTATTAAAATGGCATCTATAATGACCCCGAACATAGAAAGAGACATAGAAATTCTTCATAAAGATCTTTGAACTTCAATCTGGTATGTTAAAGAATGCCACGGAGCACGTGATGAATTATTCAAAGAAGATCAAAGAAAGCAGTACATAGAAAATATTCCTTGCTTGTTAGAATGTCTAGTAATAGCAAATGAAATTAGATCAGCATGCCAATTATTAGCAAGGAATTAGACTAATTAGCCAGATATATTAAAGTAGGAATCAACTCCACAAGCAGGCTACAACTTTTGTGGTTAGTGGCTAACTTTGCAAGTTAGTTGTGCTGTACCTCCTCCATAAGTGGTATTCAGAAGGTTCTGACCACTTCTGGAAAACCGGTAGCGGAAATTTTGAGTAGTTCAGAGAACTGGTAAATACCACCTCTGACCGGCCCCGCCCCATCTATTCTCTGCCTCCAGAGTCCCAGCTGATCGGGAAGAAATGGGGATTTTGCAGTAACCTTCCCCTAAAGTGGGGTGGGAATGGAGATTTTACAGTACCCTTCCTCTGCCACGCCGCCAAGCCAAGCCAAGCCAAGCCAAGCCAAGCCAAGCCAAACCAAGCCAAGCCAAGCCAAGCCAAGCCAAGCCAAGACCACCAAACCATGCCACACCCACAGAACCGGTAGTAAAAAAATTTGAATCCCACCACTGACCTCCTTCTCCCTTTCTTATCATCATCATCATCATCATCATCATCATCATCATCATCATCATCATCTCATCCTCCTCATTTTAGCCATTGTCTTTTCGCTGCAGGATGAAGGGCTCTACCGCATGTTTCCAACCTATATGGTCCTGAGCTTCCGTTTGCCGATTGAGCCTGCCATACTCAATGATGTCGTTGATCCATCTTGTTTTGGGTCTCTTTCGTGGACGCTTTTGATCAAGCGGGATCCATTCTATGACCGCCTTGGTCCACCTGCCATCGGTTTTTCTTCCTAGGGGACCAGCCCATTTCCATTTCAATCCTTTTACTCTCTTGATGATATCTTATCCTTTTGTTTGTTCTCTAATCCAATCTACGGGTTTTTCTATCTTGTCTTGTAATGCCAAGCATGTATCTTAACATGGTTCTTTGCGACACTTGTAGCTTTTGTATCGATTGTGATTACTGGCATATGTTAAGAGCAGACACTGGTCAAAAGCTTTTCTCTTCAGGCACAGGGGGAGGATATTTTTGAAAATTATGCTTAGCTTGCCAAATGCCTGCCAACCACACTTAACAAGTCATTCAATTTCCTTTATTCTGTCACTTTCCATTGAGATTCCTTGACCAAGGTATGTGTTGGTATCTACTACCCTACATCTAGTTCTTCTCCA